GGATTGCTTGAGCCCAGGAGTTTGAGGTTGCTGTGAGCTAGGCTGACACCATGGCACTCTAGCCTCAGCAACAGAGAGAGACTCTGTCTCAAAACAAAAACAACAAAAAAAAGGGTGGGATTCAAGTTCTGCTGAAAATTTGGAGCAGGACCCTGGGTAAGTTACAAAATAGGAATATAATAACATCTTATCAAGCACTTACTAGGTGCCAGGTCCTGTGCTAACTGCTTTACATGCATTATCTTATTCCATCCTCGCCATGCTCCTACTGGTGGTACTGTGATGAGGAAACTGAGGCTTAGAGAGGTTAGAACTTTCCTAAGGTGAAGTGGCTAAGAAAAGACCATGGCGGAGTCTGCACCTGGGTCAGCAGCCGGTAGAGCCCATGCTCTAACTACTTAGTGTCTGTGATTTCACCTCCTCTGGGTCTGTTGTCTCAGAAGTACAATGGAGGTTGGGCTTCATTATTTTGAAGGTGGCTTCTGACTTTAACATCACAGGACTTTCCAAAGGCCAAAAGACTGGGTGCTTAGATTCCAGTTAAGACTCACAGTTTAGACCAGTGCTTTATTTTCTCCTTCAGTCCATCAGGACGCAGGAGAGATGACAGGCTCACGGCTATTATATAGCCATGGGGACACCTGCTTGTTTCGTGAGCTGGGTGCTGTGACTCCACTCTTATTTAGGCAGTGAACCTTTAGAGTGAACAACCATTTGGGGCAGGATGAAAATACCCTCTTGACTAAATCAATATAATTTTTGCAAAGCAAAATAAATCCATGATATGAATATCCCATGCTGGCTGGACATGGTGGCTTGGCACTTTGGGAGACTGAGGTGGGAGGATCACTTGCAGCCAGAGTTTGAGACCAACCTGAGCAACACAGTGAAACTCTGTCTCTACAAAAGAAAAAAAAAAAACACACACACACACACCAAAATTAGCCAGGCATGGTGGCACATGCCTGTAGTACCAGTTACTCAGGAGGCTGAGGCAGGAGGATCACTTGAGCCCAGGAGTTTGAGGCTACTGTGAGCTATGATTGGGCCACTGCACTCTGAGTGACAGAGCGAGACCCTGTCTCAAAAAAGAAAGAAAGAAAGAAAATCACATGCTAACACCTAGTCATGACTTTTCTTTCTTAATGTTAATGAGTTGGAGTTACTTAATTAATCAGCCTCTTCTGAGTCTGATTAGAGGCTTAAGAGTAAACCAACACTTTCCTCATATCTGCTGTGTGCCAGGGTCTAGTCTAGCATGATTCTGACTTTTTACTCTAAATCTGAGGATGGGTTAGGCCACTGCTACAAATGAAGACACTCACCCCAGGTCATCCAACTTGGACTCAACTCTGACTTCAAAACCCATTTTCTTTTCACTGTGTCAGTAGTTCTCCAAGTGGTCTGTGGACTCCTGCCTTTAAGACCATTTTAGGGATCCACAAGGTCAAAGCTAGTGAGATGTTTTTTGTCTTTTCACTGCATTGATGTTTGCAATGATGGTGGAAAAGCAATAAGCAATGAACCGTTGCACTTCACGAATCTTCTAGCCAGGGGCACCAGCTGCACTTGATGTCCTTCATAGAGTAGTAACAATTATTGTTATTAACCTTGACCCTTAAAGACACACCCGCTCAAGTACACATATAGCACTTCTGCTGCATTCCGTAATACAATGGCTGTGTCAAAGAAAAGCACTTGTGCAACTGTTTGAACCGTGAGCTGAACCGGCCACATTTTTCAAGGCATACCATTTTTACTTGAAATAATTACTGAAAGAAAACCTGTGGTCATTTGGACTTGGGCCCTGGCATCCATTTCCTTGACAATAAACAAAGTGAGCTTCTCACTTCAAGGAGAACTGACAGTATTTGTTGCTAATGAAAAAATTTGAGCTTTCAAGCAAAAACTGGAATTTTGGGAAACTTGTATCTGTCACAGTGAGCTGACAGCTTCCCAAAACTTAAAGACTTTGCTCATGAGATCAGATTCTTGGCGATATTAACAAATGTCATTTTGAAATATCACCTAATTAAATGTACTAACATTTGGGAGATGGCAGGTTTCCAGCAAGTTCTGCTGGTGCAGCATCATGGTGACTTCTCATGCCTTCAGTGAGGTATAGCCATGCCCTCCTCCCCTGGGGGCAGGATTTGGGGGCTCTTCCTCAGGTGCTCTCAGCCCCAGGAGTAGCAACTATTCCTATCTGCTATTCCTGTATTCCTGAGTTTTATTTCTCACTAGCTAGTTCCCATTATTCTAATCCCTGCGGGAGTTAGAAATTCTCTATATTAAACTTTTCATGTTTGAATTACTATGTGGTTTCTCTCTTCTGACTGGGCCTGGACTGATAAAGCAGGTCTTGCAAGCAAGAGCTGTGAACAGTCAACTGGAAAGAAAAACAGATTCGTGCAGTCATTACAGTGAAGGGAAGAGTGCAAGGGACAGGCGCGTGTTCCTGCCAGCCCTGGTTTGTGAATGGCAAGAGGGAGTCAACTTCACATGGGAGGAGGAAGGTACTGGTTTAAGGCAAAAGTTTCCAACAGATGCTTTTAGGTATAAAGAAGTTGAAAATTAGAACCAAATAGTACCCACATGTTGAGTGGGCCAGTGCTTTGACCTGTGAAGAGTTTTTGTGACGTCATCCCTTCAGGACAGTTGAAGGAGGAGGGAAAGACCCAACCAATCTAGGTTTAAATGTAGCTTAAAAAAAAACCACAAGAGGTACTTAAATTATACCATGGTGTCCAAGACGAGGACAGCAAAGACGAGACCAACTGCATCAGTGACATGGTTGGAGATGAAGAGCTTACGGGTTTCACAAGGAGGGACAATGATCCAGTGGGACACGACTGAGCGAGTCAGGGCCAGTCTTTTTACACAGAGTGAAAGCAGCTAGCGACTTAACAGTGAACAGACAATCTGAAGATGGGCACAACTGAGTCTCGGGGCAGAAAGGTAATAAGCCAGAAGGTTCACGTTCCACGGCTAACGGCAGCACAGTGGGAAACGTGAGGATGCTTACGCTCGAGGCCAGGACACAGCCACTTCAGGGACAGCCACCAAAACATCCTGGGGAAACAGAATACTGCCCTGAAGTTACACTAGGCAATCCAAGGCTGGTTGGGTGGTCTCTGGCAAGTTATTCAACATTGGGCTGAGGGGTCAGATGACTTACCACTTTAAACCCACAGAATAATCCCATAATAAGAGCTGGTATTTGAGTACTTCCTCTTTGCCTCATCTAGAAGAGTGCTTCTGGACCCCCAGGCCAGGAGCAGTGAGGCAGAGATTTGGCCTCTGGCATGTACTTCTTGCTCAGCACCTGCAATTTCATGTCCTTTCTTCTCTCTCACTCCTGGGTAAATATTAACAGTATTGTTTGCAGTTAAGGCTGAGTACAACACGACAACAATATCCTTGATTTCAAACAGTATGAAATACACATACATTTTAAAGGGTAATCCAGTATGCACACGGCTATGTGTAAACGAAACAGAAGTTTTAGAAAGCAAACTTAAATTCACTAGATGTGATGCACTGTTTATTTCTATTCTATTGTATTCTCTTTTCCAAAACGCTGGTCATGACCCCTAAATTGCTTTCATAACCCTTCTAGTGGACTCTATTCATACTCTTAAAAAACAAACAAAAAAACCACTGTAGAGGAAAAAGGTAACTCATAAACGGATTATAATCTGAAAAAAACACACTGTGAGCTCAACAATTCCCTTTGGTCTAGTCAATGTTTACTAGTTATCTTAATTTGATTTCTAAACCCTGGGAAGAAAGTATGCTACACAGAACCCCAGTGCCATGATCTCACCACTCACGTTAATCTCACTCTTTCTGGAGAAACACTTCTCATTACAAATCAATAACGCACATTCACGTCATGCAAATTAAAACTGGACAATGTCTTCACTGGTCCAATGGCTCCCAGAACTGATGAACTCCATCGGACCAAACTCTGCAACACCAGATTCTTCAGTCAAAGCAAACCTTCTTGTTACAGCAAATTATAATCTCTCTCGCATTATTATAAAACAGGACAATGATCTGCGATACGCAAGTAACATGATGATTCAGCATGGACATTTAGTTCGGTAAGATTTTATTTATAAATTTGCAAAGCTGAAGGAAGGATATGATCTTTTGTTAAAAGAAAGCAATTTTCACAGTATATATTTAGCCATTTTAGCTTTGTATCGAATAATAACAGAAAAGGAAGTTTCTGTTCAAGATCCTCACTCCAGCATACTCAGCCAGGTGCTTGGCATCACGCAGCAAGATGACACATTCCCTGGTCTGAAACTCACAGCAAATCCTCTCACCCAAGCGGAACACCAGTTCTCCAGGCACACACACACGGGGTCTTATTTGCACTGCTCTACACGGGGCCCTGAGAATCCTTAATTTTAAAGTTGGGAAAAATGTGAAAGGATTCCTTAACTCATTGCCTGTAACAAATCTAACTACCTGTTTAACTCTTAACAATTGCAAGTATAAAAACTTGAAATTTATGAGATGTTCCATTTTATGGAACAACTCTAATGTTGAAAAATTGGGTCAAGTAACATGCTTTAATGTTTTAAAATGCTACTTAATAAACGTATTGAGACAAGATATGCAGCACGTTCTTGTACTTGGTATTATAAACTCCTATTGACGGTTGCTACTTGATGGTCAAAAACATTAAAAAAGAGAAGAATCCACACATATTGGTAAATAACAATACCTGCAGGGAATGTCATATTTTAAATTTTTTTAACTGAAATTAAACCCAGAAAAAAAAAAGTCTATAAAACCAACACCCATGTCATTTTAAATGATGAGGTAGATTTTTTCCTATGCAGTAAAGTGAAGATAACAAAAAAATCCATACAACTTTCAAATCCTATTTTAAATTTTTTTTAACTGAAATTAAACCCAGAAAAAAAAAAGTCTATAAAACCAACACCCATGTCATTTTAAATGATGAGGTAGATTTTTTCCTATGCAGTAAAGTGAAGATAACAAAAAAATCCATACAACTTTCAAATCCTCTTTTTTTTAAAAAAAAAAAAAGTTCAGGTTATAGTCACTTTCACAAATACGACATTTATAAACCAAGAGGTGGAGAGGTCACACTCAGACAAGTTCTGTACTTGATGTTTTACTCAGAGATTCAATAATCAGTCTTGGATCAATCAACTCTCTCCAGAAAACAGAGATCTGAGGAAAAATACAAAATACTAAGTTTAAATACTTCATTTTAAGGTCACATAGGTTTTAGGAAGTTAAAAATTTCAGTCAAGTAAATTTCCATTTGTACAGAATGGTTGAAGAACTGGAATGATTTGAGTTCCAATAAATTGGGTATAAGAACTCATTTACCTAGAATGCAACTAAATTTTACATTAAACATATTTCAACTTTCTTTGATTTAGAGCAGGAGATTCAGGGGTTCAGGGAAGGAATAGCTGCTAACAAGGTGGTTGGGATTTGCCCTGTGGACAAGTGGCCCAGAGACTTCTTGGGAACCAAACGTGGCCCAGATGGGTATCACTAGGCTGCTGATGCCCTTTGGTGCAGCTCTATAGCTCTTATCCTATGCTGCCTAAAAACAGATCTGTCTTACAGCTTACCAAGAGAAAGCCACGCTGATGGTTGGCCCTATGGATGAATAACGAGGGCCATCTAGTGTCAAAAAAGATAATTACAGGCCTTCTATTCTACTTCAGCCTGTTTGTTTAATAGGGCATAGAGAGGAAAGTCTCCCAGGTTTAATTTTCCAATGCAGTTTCCAGGAATATATTTTAACAAAAAAGTGTGGCTGCATATATAAAAATAAATACAGGAGCCTGGGCCAAATCTGCTCATCCTACCACAAACCCTAATATGCGTTTCTGGAATAAATCCCTAAGTGTCATCTACCTTAAAGTAAAACACACATACAGTCTGGTTAGGGTTTCTACAAGTTCACACTTCAGAAAAAATTTGAGTTTGTAATATTGAAACCTACACAGAATAATATCCACAATGTTAAGAAAAAACATTTTCTCAAATCTATATTCTATTAATTCTATTTACTTTAATGCTACCACAGCCTAACAAGCTAGCCATTGACAGCAACTCTGGTAGTCTGGCTACCTAAAAAGGTCCAAATCATATTCTTCCGAAAATGGCAATTTAAGGATTTAAACAAAGTCAAAGGACGGAATCATCATTTTATACCACTCTTCAAACCTATGCTGTTGTAAGTCAGAACTAACATTTGGAGGGTCATAGTGACTGCAAGGGGACACATGGAGGCTTCTAGGGGGCTGTTAATGTTCTAATTCTTGATCTCCGTCTGTTTACATGGGTATGTTCATCTGTGAAAATTGTTTAAGCTATACAATTATGTGTACTTCTCTGAATGTATATGCCAATAAAAAGTTTTTAAATGTGTTACTCTTTTCTACTGGAATCCGCATATTACTATAATTTTAAGCAACTCTATACTCTTAAACAAAAGTTTGTTATTTGTGCATCTTGTCATACGGGCTCTTTGAGGTCCAAGATGGTACACTGATTTGGCACTTGGCACTGTTATTGCCATACCGTAGGAAGGCCAGACCCCCCCCCCCCCCCCGGCCCTAGATCTTTTGTGGTTTTACTACAGGCAGTTCAGGAAGCTGCGATGTCACCTTCCGGACCCCAGGTAATCAGCTGACAGAGAATGCACAGCCAAGCAATGCCAAGAGAAGCATGCCTACCCTCCTCTCCTGCGTCACAGCATACTCCACTACCTCGGTTCCGTTTTCGTTGTGATAAACCAAATCAAATTTCCCAGGTTCTTTCACAGCTGAAACCAGAAGGCAGGGAGGAAATACAATACATTATTCATTTCACAATAGTTAAAATGTTCCTGTAGGGAAATTTATATCACTAGGAAAACAGCTACAAACAAACTGTGCACTGACATGAAGGCTGGCTATGTACCTGAAAGCATGGAGTGCTCAGTACCAGGAGACCCTGAGAAAAACCCTGCGCCAGTGACTGGGGGGCTTCTTGGCCATTTATCCATCATAAGCTTATGAACTGTCACTAGTACTCCCAGAATAGAATGCGGAACCACAGGACAATCCCAAAAAATAATTTATATGTTTCAATGAGGGACAGTAACATGAAATGTTGCTCTGTCCTCAGAAACCACATACGCTAAACTACTTGGTACACAGGCAGTCCTTGTTTTGCACAGTAGTCTGGAATCAGAAAAATGGATGTGCAAGCTGAAACCATGCAAAAGTCTTAATAATCAATGGGAAAAATTAGACTGTCTCACAATCTTTAAAAATTTTTGTCAAAATATTAAAAACCTTTACTGTGTAAGGAAATGAAAAAATAGTAAAACTAATATTTATGTAGCACACTGTAAATTAAGACATTAGGAATACTGGTAATTAAAGTGTTTAATTTCTTTGTAAGAAACTAATCAAGGGTAGTTTGAACCGTACTTCCCTCCTTGTATAACTTACACAGAGCAAGTGTCTTTTCTAAGCTTTACAGAACTGTCATACTCCTTTCTAAGTTTGGATCTGCTTTCAACATTTTATCCTTTGAGCTTCTAATGTCATGAAATGGCTCTGAGAGTTTCTTTGTTTTTCACTTTGTGAAATCTTTGTGAACTTTTTGCTGGTGTCACTTCTGGGACATTTTCATCCTTTTCATCACAACCACTTTTCTTATTTATGTCAACAAGTTCACATAATGGGCAATGTCAACATTCCCACAGTGAGCCATTTTTTCTGTAACTCCTCTTAAATTCAATGTGGATGGCACTTTCAGCATTATTACTTTTCGTTTCTTCACTGTGTTTTTACCTTTGTTGGCCAATTCCCTATTTCAAGTACCCATTTACGTAAAATGTCATGTGGGTTATCACTGTGAGACAAGGCAGCACAACTGCATGCTTTCCTGTCTATGAACTGAATGACAGACGCACAGTGACCAATCACCCACAGACCAGTCACAGATTGTGCTGCACATCTGTTATTTATGCAGTGACTTGTAGACTGAACAGCTAACAGTACTTTATGCAATTACTCAGTTAACATCTCCAATGTTGTTAGGGGACTAGTGGGGGACAGATAAAGCTGTTTCTTGATGCCCCAAAAAAGAAAAGTTCTAATTGGATGTTATTACTGTCAATCACCTGACAAGCAACGATCAGGGTGTGTTCATGGAATTTGACTGTGGACAAACTTCTCTGTCCACCACTCCTAAGGAGAATTTCTACAAATGGAACCTCATCAGAAGAAAGCTAGCAAACCAGTGTAAGTTACATCTAATCATTCACTTAATATCCTAAAGGAACTTTGTTGAAAAATGCTTTTGACTGATCTTTGTCTACTGGAGTTTTGAATCTTTTACTCAATACTTTATTTAAAAACAAACAGAAAACAATTAATTGCTTTAGGTTCTAATAAAGAAAAGGGGATCTCTCCCTGCTTTCTGACCCCTACACTACATCCCAAGTTAAGATATACAGTAAAAGCCCTCTTATTCCAGGCTTTCAGAACCAATAATGGGCGGGGTTAATCAGAGATAAGGCAGGGAACCATTTAAAATTATATGGGAGAGTGTGTGTATACGCACACTTTAACATTTTATTTTGACTTAATACACAAAAGAATGTTCATTTGCCAATCTTTTGAAATAGAGCTGAGTAGGTTTTATGAGCTCACTGAATAGAGTTGTCTTTCTTTTATATACCGGACCCCTAATGTCCTGTCTATAATTTCTACAATTTACAGTTTTGACTTTGTGTTTTGTTTTGTTTTTTAAGACATCTTGCTCTGTTGCCGTGGGTAGAGTGCAGTGGCATCATCTTAGCTCACAGCAACCTCAAACTCCTGGGCTCAAGCGATCCTCCTGCCTCAGCCTCCCGAATAGCTGGGAATACAGGTGCATGCCAAGACACCTGCCCAGCCAATTTTTCTATTTTTAGTAGAGACTAGGTCTGGCTTCCTGGAATAATTCTCTTTGATCAATTTTCATCAGTCCATATAATCTTTTATGAAATCACATAATTACAGTAATAAGGACAACTAGCCCAACAGCTTTGGAACAAATCAACCAGCAGGCGCACAGGCCCCAGGGCTGCAGTGTGCTGAACTAGGTAGTGGAGATCGCCAGACAATCGTGGAGGCCAACAAAGAGAACACCTTCTGTGTATAAAAGCTATTTAAAAATCACTGTAGACAGAAAGAACTTAAATTTTCAAACTCTTTTCCAAAGACTCACCAGGTAAGGATGAAAGAATTTCTATGTCTACTTGCTGGGTCTCTGGATTGTGGCTTAATATTTTTCCTTCCTTTCGAAAATAAAAGTCCAAGTCAAAAATCAACATGTAAAATATTGTGAACATACTAAAAACCCATTGAACTGTAGACTTCAAAATGGTTAAAATAATGAATTTTATGTTACGTGGATTTTATCTCCATAAAAAGATTTAAAAATAAATAAACATGTAAAGGAAATAAAAACAAACAGGTGAACTGATTAACACTCTATCTGAATATACAGAAATATCCTCAGGGGCAAAATATAATAGATACAATTAAATCAAAAATGGGAGACACTGACCTAAAGAACTCGAAGAGAAGTAAAGAGTATACTAGGTTACCACTAGTGTACTCTGCTTCGGCTCCTAATGCTTTTAGAGCCCTTCTAGAAGGGTGTCAACCCTCAAGCAGAAACGGCAAGGCACTTTGTCACTGGTGAGATTACAATTCCCTTCCTCCCAGGTCTCCAGTATTCGGAGGAAGCATCGACAGGAAGCACTGCCCCGTCCACGTGGGTGACGGAGAGACAGGTGGGTAGCCTTTGGGGGCATCCAGTGAGCCCAAACAGTCACTCCCTTCAGCTTCTACCCAAAATTTCTGAGCACAGTCAACAGTTTTTTTAAGACCAGATTCAACAGGAATCAGGGGGCTGGGACACCACATTTTTGATGACAGAGTTAACTTGTGAAGACAAGTTTAACAAATAAAGCAGATGATCAAGCTGAATAACATCATTCGAGGTCAAAGCAAAAAAGTGGGACTGATTTTCCTTCTCAAAATAGTTTTGAAAACAATTTCAAAAATCTCCAAAAAATATCATGAACTAAAGTAAGCAAATAGCCTTCCAAGGTAATAACTATGATGACTAACACCAATATAATTTACATTTAAAAAATCACTATCATCTAGAATTACAATTTGTAGAGGTTGTGGGATATATCAAGTCAATATTCATTTCCATTTGCTACATATCACACAATTAAATTAGTTATCTATGGCAGGGTGACAAAACATCATGGTTTGTTCAAGACAAGACAGGTCTGTACATGTCTTTCCTTCCAGCATAATTATTAATAGCACCCCTTTTCACTCACAAGTATCCTGATTTAGATGATAAATTATATGGTCACCTCATCCATAGGAGACATTAAGTGGCTAAGAAGATGAAAAACATAAAACACCAATTACCCAGAACTAATACACCAGATCCCTTTGTCAAATTGATTCTTCTTCTAGCCTGCTTTTGAGGAAAGGTTTTTACCAAGACTTTAGAAGTCTTCCAAGGCATTAATCGGATTAAATCAAATTCCCTTGTACAGTATCTATATTACTATTACCAATTACTACCTTAAAAAATGGACTTATATTCCATTCGATATATTACATTGAAAAAAGAAAGTATGCATTTTAACTGGATCTTCAACAAAATTTTGCTTGGT